AGGCTGGCCTCGAACTCACAGAGATCCGCCTGGCTCTGCCTCCCAAGTGCTGGGATTAAAGGCGTGCGCCACCAACGCCCGGCCCATCTTTCTCATTGTTATATCATGTCTGCATAAGTGTGTAGTTCTTGAATTTTAAAAGTATTATTCCGTAGAGTCTTTAGCTCAGGTACCAAGAACAGTCATTTATACGCCTTATACAATCAAGCAAGCATATTAGGATACAATCTGACCAACTGAGAAGGACCTTGAGCCACTCACCTGACATTTTAAGAATGAAAAACAACCATGCTGTTGATATTCCTATTCACTGCCAACTTGACTAGGTTTACAATCACCACATAGATAGCCATAGCCCATGGCACAAGGGGGATGGGGGAGTGGGTGTCTTCTGAGGTCTAGTGGGAGAGAAGACCATTCTGAATGTGGCAGCCCCTTCCTATGAGCTGGGATCCCGAGCAGAATAAAAAGGGAAAAGGAAGGAAGCTGGCTGAGCAGCAGCAGTCACCTCTCAGCCTCCTGACTGCACATGCAGTGTGGCCCGCTGCCTCACGTTCCCACTGTCCTGCCTTCCTTGCCATGATGGACTGTGTCCCCTCCCAAAGGGACTTAAAGCAAAGTCCTCGGTAAGTGGCTTTCATCAGTTATTTCATCACAGCAACAAGAAAAAGGACACTACTCACTGACTTAATGTCTACTTACAACTGTTAATTTACTCAGACCAGATGCCAGGTGTTAGAGTGATGGGCATGTCATACCATTCAAACACTTTTGAGATTATCTACTGCGAAGATTTTAGACCTTACCAACTCTGGAAATATATAGTATGCATCTGTTCAAATGTCAAATCAATTTTAAAAAGTTAGAGAAAAATAAAAGAATTCTAGCTCAGAGTTTTTTCCCATTTCCTTAATTATAACTTCCTTGTCTTCATTTTTCCTATCATGTACGTGAATATGGCACCATCAAGTAAGTCTCTTGATTCATCCCTAAATAGCAAAAGCACAAAGGGTACTTCTTGGCTGTGTCTATACAAATAAATGGAGGAAGTCAGAGAAAGTTAGGTGGAGTATGTATTCCCACACTGAGTTAGTTTCCATAACAGTATTGAAGTTAAAGTTATATTATTAGTATTTGAGTTAGTGCCAAGACTCATTACCCAACATCTGGATGATAATACCCAAGTCTTCAAGTTATTCTTTTATGTTACCATGACCTCTCTATGTAAATGATTGTCAAACTGTTCCAGCTATTACAGCACTGGAACCTTTTGTGGAAAAATAAACTAGCAGACAAATCTTTGTTAGAGGCTGAACATTATCAGAGATGTATCCCCCCAGCACTGGGTAGTGCTGTCTGTCCCACCCGACACCATCATACACCATGTTCCCTCAAGCTTTCAAGGGAGCCTTAGCACAGAGGCATGAGTCGGCTCAAGTTTGAATGTCACTGAACTCCGGAGTGTCAGTCACAGATCTGGTTTGGTCATGAGAACTGTCCTGCAGAGTTAATGTGAGAGTAAGTCTACAGACTGTAAAAAATTCATTATTTTTAAAATGTTTTGGACAATCTACTGTGTGAGATCCTCTTACTCTGTAATTCCAGAGTGCTAATAATACATAATGGAAAAATGAATTAAAACTGTGTCATTTCTGTTCAGAGACAGGGATTTCTAAGTGTTTGGCTCTGCTTTTTGTTATAATTATTTTAAAAATGCTATTGTTACAAATGAATATGACTGATGTTGATCCTTAAGGGAGTTTTATTTTAGTCTTTTTCTATAACACTCATTTATATTCAAATATAAGCTATATCATCTACATTTACATATGTATTTAATCAAAAAATTCATACAGAATTGTGAAGAATTTTAACCAAAATAAAACCTTTGTGAATAGTAAAAATGTAACTATAATGTTTAGAATTCTATAGGTACTCAAACCAAAGCCAATATTAATTTCACAATTATATCTGACAAATAGCTATCTCAAATCTGTCCATAAAATTGTGCATAAAGTGATAGAAAATTATGCCTTCAAAATGAAAACCCAGGCAATTTTAATGAACATAAAGCTATATGTAAAGACAGTCTCAGGGTCAAATGATATACAGAGAACACATATGTTCACTTGTGTTTCACGGAGACATAACCTCAGTAGAGAGTGTATCTTGGTGGTATAAGAACGTGTACAAACTACAACTGTCCACTTGTGTTTATAAACACCCACACACTGGAACCTCCATGGAAAGTGTATATTAGTGGTGTAAGAACGTGCAACCCTAGCACTCGGGAAGCTGAGCAGTAAGACCGTGACTCAAAGTAAAAGAGCAACAGCACTTGCCTGCTGGGTCCACCCTACTGGGCCCGGGGTTCTGTCTTCCGTGTGAGAGGAAAAAAATGCAGGATGTTAATTCGATGAGTTTTCTTTTATTTTTACTATCCTTTACAGTGCCGAACACTGAATACTGCACATCTCATCTGAAAAGCTTTTGGATTTCTTACAAATTGAAGATTTCCTGATAGAAGATTCTAAGAATTTTTAAGAGTATAAAATACTTGATTGCTTTGTCTCAAGGCACCAGGCTGTTCCACCACCACAGTTTCACTTACAGATACTGCTGCAAAGGATTGCTCTTTACAGGACTTTTTACATGGATGCACAGATCTCCTGCACCCAGCCACAGGGCATTGGAGGCTAGGCATGTGTACTTTCCAACTTGTTAGCTGTAACGGTACTGCTCTGGAGGAAGAAAAGCGTTTCCATTTTCCTTACCTTGCATGGAGTACTTACTGCTGCACTGCTGATACCAGCAAGCTGTAAGGAAGAAGCAGCAGCACCACTCGAGGCTGGGCATCTCTGCCATGCTTACTGCTTCTGTCATTTCTCTTCTGCCCAGTTAAGCATCTGGATTTGCCAATGGCTATGTCTCCATTTTGTTCTGAATACTAGTTGAACAAAGTATTATACACAGACTCTCCTACTGTATGTCTTTGGCATTTATTTCATCACGCAGAAGTTTTTACTTTTAATGTGGAGAAATTCATGTTTCCCTACCACTGCAACCCTAGACCCCAAGGGACAGGAAAAAAAATTCTTTCGTTGAATATCTTACAGATGATGATGCAGGTACTATTACCAGTTTGTAAATAAAACAACTGAAGCTTACAGAGACTCTAAGTAAGTCACTCAAAACATGCAAACTGGGCAAACTTAAAAGCAGAAACAAAGTGACAGGGAGGTCTGGGACAGTGGGAAAATGGTGAGAATGGGGCCAAGGGGAGAAAAGCAAACAGACCCAGCATACGATGGTGCTGAAAACCAGTGTAAGATGCTGAATGCCACACTATTTCCATAAACACAAAAACGTATTTTACTATCCGAAAACATTCATATTAGATTCTTAGAAATCAATTTACAAATATTAAATTCCTTCTGAAACACATAGACTATGATCTGGCATTATATGCTCCTATTTCACATTGAAATCAAATTCTCAAAATATTCTGCAGACTAGAGTGACAGAGTACTACCAGATAAATTATCTAAGAGTTTCCATGCAGAGATAATTCCTATTAAGCAAGCAAGAAGGGACTAGAAACCTAAGGTTTAAAATTCTCAGGTTTCAGGATGTTAGAAATTTAGTGCTGAGTGTATACATAAGGAATTACTATCACCTCCATAAAGGGATTCCTATGAATCCCTAGAATTATTTACTATAATCTAAAAATCTAAAATACCAGAAGTCTTAATATACAAGTGACAAAGGCTTTAAATGTCAAAAGAATGAGGCTGAGGGGAAGCATGAGGCATGGACCACAGTGAGCAAGGTTATTCTGAGACAGCACCAGAGCTTCAGCCAACTCCTGAAGATGGTGACAGCATTACAAGCACCTTCCACCTCTCCTGCAGTGGTTTTCCTGGATTGTACAGCCTATTGAGCCATGTGTGACCAGCCTCTCAACAACGTGGGTGGTTATTCCCCAATCTAATTCTATTGATTAAATGTGTTCTCTGACATGTTTCCAATGTGCACATCCTTCTGTTTTGTTTTATAACCCATTGGCTCATCTGTGACCACAGGATTGGAACACAGTGGGCACACAAGTGAAGACAATGACCGTCTATCTCCAAAAACCCGTCAGTAGCCAAGAGTTCACCAGGAAGGGAGAACCTCATGAGCCCCTCCCTAATCCATAACCAACTCCAATTTACTTCTTAACAAAATCTATGTCCTTGGACACCATTCAAAGCCCTTCTTCTGGGCATCACAAATACATAGTTCCTGGCTGACATCCTCAATTGACTTTGAATAAAGTCTCTTTGCTTTTCTCCTCACATTGGATTTCTTTCAACATGCCTTTATGCTGACAAAATAAAAATACTTAAGGATAACTTGTAATATTGAGATACTAAAAACAGAAAGTCACCTACAATATACAGTACATTTATATGTGGAAAACTAGTCATATAAAATAAAGTGACAGAAGTTATTACTAATAAAGCATAATTTTGTCATGCTAAATGAAAATAAAATATTATGAATACCTAACTTCATCTCTTTCCATACAAATTCAGAGAGATGATGAGGAAGAGAAACATAATTTTAAAAAAAGCTAATTGCATCTATTCTTGGGGTAGTACAGTTGTAGGTCTTTGTTTTCTTTACTGACTACAGGTTTTCTGTAAGGTATAAGGCCTAAAGATGTAAATACTATTGGCTATGCATCCCACATAATGTCTGTTGCTACTACTCATCTAGCTGTTTTAATACAAAAAATGGTCACAAAAGTGTGACTGTGGGCCAACACAGCTTTATTCAAAGGGCTAGCAGGTAGGGTAGATTTTTGCCTACACTCGTCCTAGTGTGACACCAAAATAATCATATAGACTCGGAACTTAGGACCATTCTTTTCACTTGAAATTCGAGTGTCTGTCTTAGTAAACCCCTGTGCGTACAACACTACGGAGGAAAGGTTAACCCAGAGGGATGACCGAAAGCAGGTTGTGCACAAGCCAAAGGTCAACTACAGTGACAGCATCAGGTCACAAAGAGGGACAGCTGCCTTCTTGGGTTTCTGTGAAGGCTAATTTTCTAGGCTTTTAATAGAACAGAGGAGCTAGACTTAAAATTTGCTGGTTATAATGAAGACATACAAATTAAAGGACAATGGTTATAAATCTCACCAAGCTCCATCCTCTCTATCAGAACAGTTCATGAAGAATAAGGTAACTCTCACTCTTTATCAGAGAAGATTCTCTATGTGCAGGTGGAGACCATTACAGAAAACAATTCCTACACAAAACCATAGCTCTCATCATAAAGGGAATTAAAGATAGTTTACTATGGAAACATTTTTTTGAGTGACTAAGATTTAGATTACCCCAAATTCTCTGTTCCAATATGAAAGAAATTTCACAGTTTTACAGAACAAAGAATGTCATAGTAAGGCAAGATAAAACTAAATAGTGGGTACATCAGATTGACACAGCAAGACGGTTGCGAAGCTTTTCTATAGGATGAAGATGCTACTCAATGGCATTCTTACCTTACTTTCTTACCTAAGGCCACTCTAGTAAACAGCAATGTTTTGCTTTTGAAATTAGACATTACTAAGTCAATGAACACAGTAAACTGAAATTACATGCAATTCAATGTATGGATCCAACTGTGTCATCAATAGAGAGGATAACATGACACAAACAGATGCAGAAGATAAGATGGTCAACATGGTTTGGTGAATTTCAGAAACACAGTGTTTCACTTTCCTGGCATAATAAACTAGACATTTAAAAACTCTTTTCGAACCTGTTCTAAAAGCTTAGGCCTATAAACAGTGTCTTTTTTTTTTTTTTAAAACTAACCTGTAAGTGAACAATTGGAAGCCTTCCATCTCATCCTAGAAGAATGAAATTATTTCAGCATTTTCCAGTACAGATTTTATGACTATAATGATACCAAGGGCTGGATTTTCCTAATCATCTATTCTTTTGTCATTTAGACCAATAAAATGCATCTCTGTATTCAATTTGTGACTAGTGAAATTCTAAGGGGAAAAATGAAATAGAGATTAAACTAGTGGGTTTTTGAATCCTATGCTTTATGTGTGCTATTTCATCTAGTCCACATAGAAGAAAGTAATATATTTTTGTCCTAATATATATATATATTATATATATACACACACACATACATACATATATATCCGACACACATTTTGCCCTTTTAGTAAGCTCCCATTAGAGGAAAATCATTTACACACACACACACACACACACACACACACACACACACACACACA